GAATTAGAAGAAGACACGATTCTGGCCTTGATAAGTCTACAAACACTAGCATGATCAAGAACAAGAAAAGGTGATGTTGCAGCAATAAGAAAACCAGAAGCTCAGTTTTAGTAGAGTTATATTTAGATACAGTGGTACCTCGGGTTAAGAACTTAATTCGTTCTGGAGGTCCCTTCTTAATCTGAAACTGTTCTTAACCTGAGGTACCACTTTAGCTAATGGGGCCTCCTGCTGCCGCCGCACGATTTCTGTTCTCATCCTGAAGCAAAGTTCTTAACCCAAGGTACTATTTCTGGGTATGTGGAGTCTGTAACCTGAAGTGTCTGTAACCCGAGGTACCACTGTAATGGGCACTTATCTGATGAGAAGCAGAGCTGAGACTGGGGCAAGAGAAGAAGAAGATAGTTCGTGTAAAGAATTGTAGGTCATTGGCATAAAGGTGGAATATTTTCTTTCTTAATTTTAATGGAGGCAGACAGGAGAAGTAAATGTTGCCCAGTTGATTACATGGATGATCCTCTCTTCATAGTGACAAAGTTGTTATAAGAACCACAACAGTGCAATAGTCACCATTTTTGTCCCAGAAATGTGCCTCCAGTTTGGCATTTGGAAACTCTTGTCATAGTCAGAAAAACAGGTGTAGGAACTTGGTTTTGCAGAATGTTTGCACAATATCTGTTGAAATGGTCTTCTGATTCCTACTGGCTCATATGAACACTGCAATATACAATAGTAAATGATTGATTCCACTAGAGACTTTTGGCTACAGAATCATGGAAGATCAACCATTTTTTGTTGTCCAGTGCAGCAGTATTAGGATGTTCAGTTTTAGTGTTGCAAAGAATCAGTCTAAGCTGTGGTAGTATCAGGTTCAGTACCAGAGGACGCCCCAGTGGTTCCTGCTAAATATCCCCCTCCACTCCAATAGTGGCTGTGGTTGGAAGTCTCCTCACTACGGCAGCAATAATATGAGTGTATGCCTTCTTAAGCCATGAAACCTTGGTCATATCTAATTCAAGGATCCATCTCCATGCCCTTAGTCAGATATTAATTAATTCCAGGAAAGTTTACACTGGGCATCCTCCATCAAACATCTTCCTCTGGTAATTAGATTAAGTCTAAATTTACATTTCCTGCAAAATGCCCATGAGGGACAAAAGAACGTAAGACAAGCTTGCTGGATCAGACCAATGGGTCATCAAGTCCCTGTGTCCTGTTCTCACAGTGGCCACCCGGATGCCTGTGGGAAGCTTGTAAGCAGGACATGAGCACAACAAGGCTCTGCATACCTGCAATTCATCAGCAATGCGGCACTGTGCATCTGACAGGCATGGTAGCCATTGAGAGCCTTGCCCTCCATGAATTTGTTTTTCTAAAAATGGATTTATTATCAAAAAAGGGCAAACATAATAAAGAAAAGAAACAACGAATCAAAAAATTAATCCATAAATTGTTAATATTTGTATGAGAAATAAAATCATTCCATGATAACTGGGCAATTCTTGCGAACTTCATCAAAGTAAGCAAAGCAGCATTGTCATTTTTAAACCAACAGTGTCCATTGCAATAACCTCTGTGGTGTATCATCATCTTCAGTAAAGACCCCCAGAACAGAACTGCAGTGAACACATATTTAAGATATGGGTCCATAACAATATACCCTATGCAATATGTTCAATAACAGTTTAACATCAGATGTATAATGCCTTTAACAATTTGTTGGGGGTGGCGCGGGTGGCGGAGAAACAGCTTACAGAATACAGTGATTGACCTAACCTGACAGAACCAAATACGTATATATATGTATGTGCGTAGGTAGTTCCCTTACGAAGGGGCAAGAGACAATTTTAGCCTCTGCCAGTCATCATTGACAACAGTGAGCTAGATGGATCAATTGCCCGACTGTGGCAGTTTTCTGTGCACACTGCAGTTTCCTGTGTACACTGACTGGCCAGTGACTCTACAGGGTTCAGGTAGGGATTTTTCCTAGCCCTACCGGGAGGTGCTGAAGACTGAACCTGAGGACTTCTGCAGGTAAAAGCGTGAGTTATGGTCATTCTTTCCTCTGAGCTACTCCTCTGTCCTTTTGGATGGGATAGCAAAATGACCTCCAAGATCTTCCTGACTCAGCCAAGAGTCCTATGGCTGATGCTTTGCAAGGGTTTGGTGACGCTTCCAGGTGAATGTGCCAAATAAATAGTGGAGAAAAAGGATAGGGAGCACTTGGATGTCTCTGACTGCTACTCTATCCATTTATCCTCCCCAACTAAGGGAGATAATCATATAAAATAAATCTGAGCTGGTCCTACTTCAAAACTGAAGAGCAAAACAGAAGCCACATTGTTGTTCATCTAGTTCCTTCCTTTTTTTTTTTTTTATAATATTTATTAGTTTTACAAAAACAAATTCCAAAAGATGTAGAAAAATACAAAAATTCGACAAACAGAAAACAACAATAACCATAACAAAAAACAAACATAGATAACAATATAACACAAAAAGAAAAAGAAAAAAAAAGAAAAAAAAGACAGAAAAATTTAAGAAATAATATACTTTCATTTAACCTTCTTATCATTACCTAATTCTTTGACTTCCCCGCATCTCCCCGCTTGTATTTCCATTTAAAAACTCCTTTCAGCAAATCCTTACCCTCCTTTCTTTATCTTAACTCAAAGTTAATCTATTTATATATAAATATTACAGCTTTATCCATCAAATATTCCATGCTCTTAATCACAAAACTTTTGCCAATACCAGTTATTTTCAATCAGACCTCAATTTAACATTCATTAATTTTATAGTATTTCTGTAGATAGTCTTTAAATTTCTTCCAATCTTCTTCCACCGACTCTTCTCCCTGGTCACGGATTCTGCCAGTCATCTCAGCCAGTTCCATATATTCGATTACCTTCATCTGCCATTCTTCCAGAGTGGGTAAATCTTGTGTCTTCCAATACTTTGCAATGAGAATTCTTGCTGCTGTTGTTGCGTACATAAAGAAAGTTCTATCCTTTTTTAACACCGATTGGCCGACTATGCCCAGGAGAAAGGCCTCTGGTTTCTTAGGGAAGGTATATTTGAATACCTTTTTTAATTCATTATATATCATTTCCCAGAAAGCCTTAATCTTTGGGCACGTCCACCAAAGGTGAAAGAATGTACCTTCAGTTTCTTTACATTTCCAACATTTATTATCGGGCAAGTGATAGATTTTTGCAAGCTTGACTGGGGTCATGTACCACCTGTACACCATTTTCATTATATTCTCTTTTAAAGCATTACATGCTGTAAACTTCGTACCTGTGGTCATCTAGTTCCTTCCTGCCCGAAAGCCACTTCCCTAATGAGTTACTTCTGAAATGGCAGGGAGATGAGTTCACCAGCATCCTTTTGGGATAAATCTAGCCATACACCCTCACAGCTTCTGCATATTAATTAGTGGGCTTGGCAGCTTAAATAAGGTAGAGAGGTATGGGGTTTTTTTCTCTGTAGCACATACCGGTATATTTAGTTCCAGCTCTCATGGAATCAACATCTCAGAGCCCATGTAGTGCTTCCACTGAATGTTTCAGCAACACAAATGATCACTATCATCATTATTTTTAAAAGCAAATAAGAACATTTCATTCTATGATAAGAGGTTGTAGAAACATTGTGTGGAATATAGGATTCCATTAATGGATAAGACACTGGGAAGAAGCTGGCAAAATTTATTTATTTCCATAGGAATTTAGTTGTTTGTCTGGCACAACTAAAATCCTCAAACGCTTTAAATCATGAAGGTTTTGTTTGAACTTTATTGGCTTCTCTTCTTCTTGCCCCTATGAAACAAGCTTTGGGAACTCTGTACATTTAGGAGTACACATAGATTCTTATTTCTTCCCTTCATGTTCCTTACTTTCAGCCTTCCTCCCTTTCTTGTTAAAAATCAGACAGTTTTTTTAATACTCTTTTTAAAGACAGCCTTAATAAAGATGTAGAAGAGGCAGCATGACCAAAGTCATTGCAAAACATTTGCTCATACATGCAACCGTTGCTAGAGTTGAAAGGCATTGTGATAAGGTTATTGAGCCCCAGTGTGCGGTTTTCTTTGTATGGCCCTGATCCAAAGAAACACAACTGCTCCAGAAGAGTCACTTGTATTGCCATCTTGTTTTCTGAAAGACCAATCAGAGAAAGAGATGCAAAATGTCTCTAGATAGAGACAGAGATGGGAGCAGTTGAATTGTATTCTATAGAGACCTAATGTAGCATAGCAGCCTAAGAGACTGAGAACCAGTCACCATTAAGTCACTAGATTGCCCAAGTAAGCGACTGCTTCTCAGTTTCAGCCCCCCCCCCCCGGCAAAATTATCATACGGAAGTGCTTTGAACACTTCAAAGCATGTTGTTGTTGCTGACAGCATCCCTTGATACCTATGTCAAGTGTACAATGCGAGTTATTGAATGTGGTTCTCCTCTCCCCAATCTATCGATTGCGGTGCACACCCTTAACTTCTTTTTTTTTGTCTGTACTGGTAGGCTTTGTACATACCATACCTTTACAGAACATTAAAAGCACATTCCTTCCCTCAAATAATTATGGGTTCTGCAGTTTACCTCTCACAAGCAACACTCAGCAGTTCTCAGCAACACTTAACCAACTACAGCATCCACACTTCTTTGAAGGAAAGAATATACTTTAAAGGTGTAGCACAGAGCTTTCCAAACTTTTCATACTGGTGGCACATATTTAGACAGGCATCATTTCATGACACAATAACTCAGTTTTACTAGCAAACAGGAAGTTAAACTAACCCCTTTCCTGCCCCGGGAGGAGCGTGGGGAGTGTTCGTGCTACACACTTACACACTGCAGCCGACACATTAACGTGTCATGACACACAGTTTGGAAAGCTCTGCTGTAGTGTGTACACAGACTGCTTTCCTCTTATTCTTGAATCAGCGCGGCAACTGGTTACACACCTGAGGCTATCTGCAAAAATGATGGTTAAAGTATGTGTCTGTGTGTATGGGGGAGGGGGGAATCAAATTAAAAAGCTATATTGTCCACAGACTTTACTTTGTTTTCTACCTTTTATTGAGATCATTCATAAACTAGACTAGCCTAAAACGAGTAACTCGTGAAAACAAATTGAGATGAAGGAACAAGGCTTATTGGGTGAGAAGCTGAGCTAAATCTGAACCCAGAACTTTCCCCCACCTCAGTCATGAAACAACAAGAGAGAGCAAGACAGCATATGCAAAGTGTCTGTCTTTTCCTCTCCACTGGCCGTTGGTATTACTCCCACCCCGCAACTGCAATTTGGGTTAAGGACTTCCAGGTCAGAGAGCATGAGCTCAGTCACTTTCTTATTTCAGAAATTAAGCTCTGCTTGGCGGTTCTGCTTCCAAGTGGGCTTCAGCCTTGACATTCCTCATTGTACAAATATGACACCATCAGGTTAAATTCACATGTGTTAGCACTTCTGTCTACGCAGCAAATACAGCCGGCATAGGGGAAGTCAATGGGGTAACCTGTCCATTCCTTTTTCGTCGCTTTCGTGTGCCTCACCCTCTATCAGCAGTTTTCTGTCTTTGTGCTTTAATCTTATTCTTCCTTCTACCTTGCAGTGTGTCAGAACGGCTTCATTCAGTGCTGAGATGGAAAAAACTGCATACTCCAACTCTGCAGGGATACTACAGAACTGAACAGTCGAGTTTCCCCCTGGTACCAGCATCTTACCTTTGCAGTTTTTGCTCTTCCACCAGCCCTGAAGCAACTTGTCTGCTCCCAAATTGGAGTCTTCCTTATGGCAGCACAGATACTTGATACTCCTTTACTGGTAAGGCAGGCTGTAAATGTATTGTGAAGTGCAATTAAGTGGATAACGGTGGTCAAATACTCTCCTCATTCACCTGTGCGTTATTTTTCTTGCAGAGAATTCTTACTTTTGTTTACATTTCATAGTGTTTCATTTTTAATGGCTGTGAGACAATACAGGATCTGTGCCATTTTGAACAGCTCTTTATCCCTGATTTAGAACTGGAATCACTATATTATTTTGAATAGAACGTTGAGATTTTGCAAAAGTGAACAAAGAAACAAACCCTGTCCATAGGCTTACAATCTCATACAAGTCGAAGTGTGGAGAAGATGAAAGGGTTAGAAGGCAGACTACCCAAAGCCCTTTTAAATACACTATGATTAATACCCAAAATTTCTTCCTAAGTTTCCCTAATTTTAATTGTTCACTAAATGCTTCCTTCTGTTTTGGGGTATACCTTTACAGATTCTTCTTCAGTGGTGGATGGGAAGTGAGTAAAAAATCATGACAGAAAAGGTCATACTCTCAAAACCAAGAAAAATAAAAGTTAATGTCATCTCCTCTAGTGTTGAAGGTTAAATATTTTAGTAAAAAGTGTCAGGGATATAAGAGGACATTGACTGAAACAGTGGCCTGCTTTCCTTAAGTAACTGTCTTTGTGCCACAGTCTTAAATCCCCCAGCTTAAAGCCCTATTGGAAATGAGGTCACAGGGTGAGAGGTCAAGTATCAGGTGACCATGAGTTCAAGTTAAAATGTGGCAGCAGTGCTCACCAGGGACAGAGAAAGCCAAAAATCACACACACACACAAACTTCACCAGCAGACATAGAGCTCTGTCAGGCATAACAAAAAATAAAGATCTGATCTCTTTGTGTATCAAAAATTAAAATGAGTATGGGAAATACTGTAAATGTTTGCTCTAGGCTTGTTTGCTAGTGGGGTAGTTTTATGATCTGCTTCTAGAGACAGCTCAGATGATGAAAAGAAATTAATGTATTGCATTCAAATATTACTAGCAGAATATGCTCACTATGTCAGAATTATCTGGAAATTTCAAGAGAAACTGCAACGTGATAGAAACTTTTTTGTTAACTTTAGAATGTTAAATTTTAAACACTGATCTCTATATTATTTAGAAAAGCCTTACAGCCTGTCCAGTATTATTATTATTACAGTATTATTTACTCACAACTGAGTCGTGCTATATTCCACAGAGCTTATTCCCAATGGTGCATTGGTTTGCTTGTTGTATTTGTTGTACTATTAATATTACCCACCTATCACTAGCAGATCCCAGGGTGGTTTTCAGCATAAATTAAAATCAGAATTAAAAGCATTTAAAATGGATTACAGTCACAGGAAACAGGTAAGTTCTGAAAACACACATCTCAGGTGTCAAGGCCCAGGGTAAAAGGGGCATTTTCAGTATCGCCAAAAGTTATTTTGTGAATTTGCCAGACACACACCTGTGTGGAGGGAATTCCCCAACTTAGGGGCTACCACAGAGAATGCCTTGTCTGGTGGCTATAGGGATGTGTATAGATGCTAAGGGAGGATATATTTATTAGATATTATCCTTCCTTCCTCATGTTTGTGAGTTCAGCAGAGTGCATTCCTTTGCAGCTTAGAAGGGAAGCTTAGATAGGCTAGTTTTAGCCTTTTAATTTAAGTCATTCAGGATGTTTTAAGGCAGGCTGGATTCTCCTGGTATTTTCCTCCTGAAAACAATAACCACATAAACAATCTTGTAAATAGTAAAAATGACGTTTACTCACTCAGAATACTTGTTGAAGAGTAACAGACGCAGCGGCTTTGTTCAGGCAGGCTTAAAATGGTAATCCAGTTACGACGACATACTTTAGTCCAGTTTAAAATGGAGTCTGACCTGTGCCTCAGACTCAGCATATGTTCTCACGTTGCTGGAATGAGGTGAGAAAAGGACACAGTGGCTCTCAGAGTTCTCTCTAGCAAACTTACAGGAAAACTCTTTGAGCTTCAGCCCCTATCATGTGCCTGTCTAGCAAACATACATCATTGGTTTGACTGCGTTGTAAATATCCCACAGAGGCACTACCCCAAAACTGCTGAGAGAGGTGGAACTACTAAGAGGGCCCCCAATGCAAATCTTAACACTAAGCAGGGTCTCTAGGGAGGCAGTGGCCTTTGCAGCTATCTGGGTCCTAAGTCTTTTAGGGCTTTAAACAGTAGCATGAGCACCTTAAATTGGGCCCAGAAACATACAGGCATTTGGTGCAGCTGCCTTAAAATGGCTTATGTGAATTCTAAAGGCAACCCTAGCTAGCAACCTGGCCATTGCATTTTAGACCAGTTCAAGTTCTGAGTCAAGGTCAGCCTCGTGTACACAGGATTACAATAATCCAATCTGGAAGTTTAACTAGAGTGTGGAACACCATGGCTAAATCATCTCTGCCTAAAAGGAATCATAGCTGGTGAACCAGCCATAGCTGGAAATAGGCACTCTGAACTACCAAGGCCGCCTGAACCCCTGCTCCTTTCAGGGGAGTGTAACCGCTATCCAGAAAGTGGGGAGTGTAACCGCTATCCAGAAAACACTCTTTTCCCACATTTGATAACTTGGAACACATAACACACCTGTCTTTTCAGGATTCAATTTCTTGGCCCACATCCAGCCCATCACTGCCTCCAAACACTTGCCTAACACCTCAGCTGCCTCCTCTCCTGATCCATATTGTGAATGGAAGGACATGTTTGGATTCAGCCCAGTGTCACTGTGGTACCAGTTCTGCAAGGAGCAATGCACATTGATGAGAGGGGAAACTCTCATGGGGCTAGCAGTCCTTTTCACTTGTTGAAACAGTAAAAATAACTCCTCTGGCACCAGAAATGTTACTTTTTAAAAAAAAATAATAATCTATTACTTATTTTCACTTTTTACATTTGCATTTCAGCCATTCTCTGCTGAGTACATGGAATCACCCAGTTTTTCCTTCTCAAAACAGTTTTAAAAATAGGTTAAGTTGAGGAAGGTGAGTGAGGAGTATAACTTTCTCTGCTGCGATTCTGCCTAAAATAGCACTCAAAGCAGCTTACAGAACTATTAAAATATAGATGATAATTGCTTACTCCCCCCCAAAAACTGTACAAAAATAAAGCATAAGGTAACAGTATAACACATCAGAAAAAATTAAACAGATAAAAACTATTATGGGCGTAGCCAGGATTTTTGTTGGGGGGCAGAACCTCAGCTAGCTATGTATTTTTTCTTGATTTTTATTGATGGGGGGCAGCTGCCCCTCCCTGCCCCCCTTGGCTACGCCCATGAAGACTACAATGCTGAATGTACTTATATATATATACATGTAAAGACTGATATAACCATGTACAGGATTGCTATATCAGATAACAACAGGCATAACAATCCTGACCCAGGATCTGAGAAGGTTGGCAAAATAAAATATGTTTAATCCTGTGCTTGAAGCTTCATAACATGGTGGCCTCCCAGGTATCGCTGCAGACAAAACTTCAAGAGCTGCGGCAACCCTTTGGCGGGTATGACCCCACTCCAAATGATCAAGCCCACTCCAAATGATCAAGCCCAGGGCAATCCAATTTATAAATCTCTAAAAAGAGGGGGGGGGGGGAGTTATGCAGGAAAAGCACCCCCTAAGGGTGGAACTGCACAGTATATATAGTACAGGGACATTTACCAAATACTGTGACAATACTTAGTTTGAAGTGGATGTCCAAAGTGGGGATATCTTTTCCCCAGTGGTGATAAAAAGCCACTTAGGGAATAGTTTTCATTGGGGGAAAATGGAGGAAAGTGGAAGTCTTATATGCCTGTCTTCAACTTCAGATTGCAAACTCTGTGGCTGCACTGCATGTGACATACACTCCACCCCGCCAAGAACTGCATATATGTCATTTGGCCTCCTCAAACTCCTTAGGGATTCATAGGTCACAACAAGTACATTGGCTGATGTTTGGAAGCGAACCGGCAACCAGAGTAGCTGAGCAAGAATCAGTATAATATGATTCCAGTGCCTTGCTCCATCCGGAAGGTGGGTGGTGGCATTGTATTCCAGCTATACTGGCGTGGTTAAGAACAGAACCTGTATAATGCCATCAGTGTGTGATTTTGCTTAAGTGTTTCATGTGAATATCAAATGCTATGGATGGACCTTTACAGAATAGGTTAATTGCTTCTGGGAAAGGGCCACAGCTCAGGGGCAGAGCCTCTGCTTTGCATGTGAAAGATCCCAGGTTCAAATCTCTAGGTAGAGCTGGAACTGCCTCCTTTTCTGAAAGCTGGAGAGATGCTGCCATGTAGTGCAGGCAATATTGAGCGAGGCAGTTTCTTATGCAGCAAAACAGAAATTACCCAACATTGCTGAAAAAGCCCTGTCGTTTGGGAATAGAAATAAAGCAGTGATTCCAGTTATCAAAGGCTAACTTCTCCTGACTGTTCCTAAACAAAACTGAAGTAGTTTCATCACAACCCCTGAGCTGGGTCCAGGTTGAAATGGATCGAGGAAGTTAGCCGTTTCTAGAATTGCATATCGCTGATAGCCCACCACGTGCTCAGCCATATAGTACTAACAGATACCTCTGAATGCCACAGGTTCAGTTTTCCATAAAACTGCCTTTCTCTCCTGTCACAGTAATGTGCTCATCTGTGGCTTTGCATTGTACTGCATTGTACTACTTCAATGAAGGGAGCAGCACTGGTATGATATCCTGGGTCAGTACACTGTAACGTACTACAGATGCAACCTTGGTTTAGTAACACAACATTTTTCTCCTAAGAATTGAAGCACGTATAACATCTTTAAAGAGGGATGGAAGGGGTGAAAGGCAGTTCCCCAAGTCCTTCTCAGAGAAGTAGAGATTATTTTGTATGTGCTAGAAGTGTTCGGTTGCAGCCTTAAAGACATTTAGTAGGACGTACATTTTCTTGATTTTAGTAACTGATTGCTACAATGCAATTCTGCACTGATACAAATTTATTGCAAATTATTATTACAAGAAGAGTAAGCTTTAATTTTCTTTAGTGTACGTGCAATATTGGAAGAAAACAAAAAGGTTACACTTCCTTAAACTCTTGCCCTGCCTATACATGGGCTGCTTAAATTCACATGTATAAAATGGCTATAGCACAATTCTCACTGTTGACCAGAAAAGATTAATGCCTCTTAACTATCTGCCCTATTCTCAAATGCTCCCTTGGCACAGGTTTTTCTGAAATGAATAGCGCTTACTTGGGTGAAGCAGTTTAAGGACCAAGCCTCTATATTTCCATCAGTGCAGGAGCAAGAAGTTTTTCTGGAGACTCGTCACTTCCAAGGAACATTCCAACTAATGGTGGTTTTGCCCACAATGCTGTGTTTCTTTTGTATCCCAAACCACAGATTGATAGGTAGCCATTATAGCTGGAATTCCTTGAAGCTGTAATGAGAGGGCTGTAATTTCATGGCTGTGAGGCCATAAGCTATGAAATATGACCTTTATACAGTGTGAGAAAGAAAACCCAGCACTGTTTTTATATTGTTCTAGTAGGAATCTACTATGAAGAAACCCTCAAATTTCTCACACAATTGGTCTTAGGGTGCTTTTGCACTTCACCAGCGACCCATGGGTCAAACTGACCTTTGCCACAGTCTACACCAGAGCACTGAAGTTAAGTCACTGAAGCACATACCATTTCCCAGACGCTTCTAGGGTGAGCAGAAGCAAAGGAGAGCAGGGCTCTGCTATCTTTAGCACTCGTGTAAGTGCAGGTGTAAGTCTTCCTCACCCTTGGATGGCAAACTGTGCCTGCCAAAATTAAGCACTCTCTCTGGCCTGTATTCCTCTGCAACTGGTCATCCAAGCTACTTCCATCTGTGCCACCAACCTAGTGTATGTTTCATCTGCTCCTGATTCAAGCCAGTAATGAATCAGCTCTGTAGGTGGAGCAAGATGGGATGATAACAGTGCAATTCTGTATGCTGCTCAGAAGCTCAGACTCATTTAATTCAACGGACCTTTCTGCGAGGGAAGTGGGTGTGATGTGTAGCACATTTCAAGTGTTCACTTACATTGTCTCAGTGATATTTGCAATAACCTTGCGCAGGAGGCCTTTATTATGCCCATTTTGCAGGCTGGGGGTTGTGGGTAGGGCTGATAAAATAGTGGCTTACTAGCTCTGCCCACTGAGTTCATGACTGAGAGCAGAGGTTTGAACTGTGCACATCCCAGCTCATAGATTAGACTCTAAGATATGGGCTTCATGTTCAATGGGAAGACAGCCCAGCTCCTGCCTGTTCAGAACTTTGAGGGGAACTGTCCATACCAAGAGAGGAAGGGCTGCTTTTCTGCCCTGCTCCTTATCTCTGGTTCTGTTTCTCCTCTCACAGCTGATGTTGGTACAGGGGAAACGCAGGATCCCCCTCCTTCCTCAGTCAGCCTTACATGGTAAGCTGCCATGAGTGGATTTGGGGAGAAGAGATAGGACTGCTAGTTATTTGAATGACTTGCCATCTACCCCTGGACCCACGTAGGCAACTCTGTTAATGGAGAAAGATGGAGAAATAGCACTTGTAGTACAATCCTCTACGTGTCTGTGCAGAAGTAAGAGGCACTGGCTTATATGCAATGGAGTGCTAAGTAAATGCTCCAGCAGCTCAAGAGTTTCCATTAGTGCTATGGGGCTTTGCTCCCTGTCCTCCCCCTAGGTAAAGGTAAAGGGGACCCTTGACCATTATGTCCAGTCGTGGCCGACTCTGGGGTTGCGTCACTCATTTTGCTTTATTGGCCAAGGGAGCCGGCATACAGCTTCCGGGTCATGTGGCCAGCATGACTAAGCCGCTTCTGGCGAACCAGAGCAGTGCACGGAAACGCCATTTACCTTCCCACCAGAGTGGTACCTATTTATCTACTTGTACTTTGACGTGCTTTCGAACTGCTAGGTTGGCAGGAGCAGGGACCGAGCAACGGGAGCTCACCCCGTCGCAGGGATTCGAACCGCCGACCTTCTGATTGGCAAGTCCTAGGTTCTGTGGTTTAACCCACAGCGCCACCCGCGTCCCGTCCTCCCCCTACATCTCCCCTAAATATGTCCTGGGTTTCCCCATACGCTCTGGAGCAGATTTGAGGAGGGACACAACAGGGATGTGCACAAGGAGAGGAGAGGGTGCAAAGTCCTGTAGCACAAGTGGAAATCTTTGTGCCAATGAGAAGCTTACTTAGTGTTGCATTGGGTACACCTTGGGCCAGTCATTCACTCTCAGCCTAACCCACATAACAGGGTTGTTGTGAGGATAAAATGGGGAAGAGGAGAACAATATACACCACCTTGAGCTTCTTGGAGGAATAGTGGGATTTAAATGCAATAATTATAAATAAAGCAAATAAGTAATCGAGTTCCATGTGGCTTTTCCCTTGGTATAGGATTTCAGCCTTTGTATTTATTTGGCACACTCAAAGTATTCACAGCACTCAACATACTTACAACAGCCTTGCGAGGGAGGTAACTTACCAGCACTTCAACAAACATCTGAATTCACCATAATAATCTTTAGCTTGCTCTCTTCAGAAACTGATACTTAAAGTTATATTACAGATTATTAGAACCGAAAGAGCTCTATTTAAATAGAACCATTTCTTCACCACTTCCTGAGCTGTTAAGCATTACGACATAGTC